AAAGTAGATTTTCATCACAGCTGGGATATCTGGTCCCTCCCTCCCTGCCCTTCCTCTACGACTCTGATGTATCAATGATCTTCCTTCACTCCCGTTTTCAATTTCTGTTTCTACTGTACTCTTCTAAGCACACAACAACCCAGTGTCTCCCATTCTAAGAGTACCTTTCCCACCACTCTGTTGACTTGTTACCCTCTTCCCTCCTCCCATTACAACCACCTGTCTTGAGTCCTGTTCTTGATCTTCCTTTCACGAGCCACATTCACTCCTGCTACTGGCCCTGCAACTCAAACTGTGCAAACCTATACCTACAAATTGACAAATTCAATGCTCATCCTTCTTGACTTATCCATACTAGCTGACCCTGCTAACAACCACTTCCATTCTCAAGTTCTCTTGTCCTTTGAACATCTGGTGCCACGGTCTTTTATTTTACGGTCTCTCTTCTCTCTGCCACTTATAGCCAATGCTCTTCTTTCCCTGGACATCTTCTTCTCCATTCCAGGTTGCCCCCCATTCCCACTCTATGTGGATGCTGCCCTCCTCACCTGCTCAGGCTCCCACACCCTACGCCTGGAGTGCCTTTTCTTGGGGAGGCCCCCATCACCCTGATTAAGATCTGACACCCCAAAACCAGGCTGCCCCTTTGCATGGATGCCCTTCACACTGCTGGGGCCCTAACTCTCTACACCAGGCTATCCCTAGATGTATATACTCCTAACCTTGCTCAGGTTATATACCTGCCCCATCCCCACCCCACTTCACCCTCTGGACGCTTAACCTTGCTTTGCTCTAGCAACCAGCTTTAGGACTGAATTGTGCAGAAAGGAAAGAGGAAGGGCAGATAATGCAATACTTCAACATGTAAATAATTACAGCTTTACAGTAAGCCTTAATATCTCGTAGGCAAGTTTCTGTTACTGTTCTTCAGGACTGTCTCGGGTTATTCTTGGCCTTTTCTTCTCCAATTCCTTCTTTCTTTGTGGCTTATTTGTGAATATAATTCAGTTGGATGAACAATCCTACCTTAAAGTTTTTTGCTCATTCCCAGCTTTAGCACTTTTATAATACATTTTTGACAGAACAGCTTGGGTGATTCAACACAAGTTGCTTTTTACCTATTCTTTTTTTTTTTTTAAAGAAAGCGTTTTTTTTTGTGTTTTTTTTCAAGATTTTATTTATTTATTTGACAGAGGGAGACACAGCGAGAGAGGGAACACAAGCAGGGGGAGTGTGAGAGGGAGAAGCAGGCTTCCCGCCGATCAGGGAGCCCGATGAGGGGTTCAATCCCAGAACCCTGGGATCATGACCTGAGCCAAAGGCAGACACTCAATGACTGAGCCACCCAGGCACCCTGCTTTTTACCTATTTCAATAGAAGCACCTGCAGTAAGAAATCTCTGTTAATGATGCAATATAAACTCCTCTGCTTTCTACTGATCTCTAAACTAGATCTGAGGGCCATCAATGTGGTGTCAGATGAGGCTTCGTGTAAGCTGTGGCATTCTGATTGGCCATCAGAGAAGGTTATTTCTATTAGGGGTAACCTAAGCAGGACATAAATATGTATGTGGGGAAACTATATAAGAAAGCAACTGGATTCAGCAACGCAGCATTCAGGAAAGGTGTCAGGGTCGGAGATTCAAATTTGTGATCAATGTATGGAGGGCATTTACAGACATGGAACTTGACCTAGACAGATTATGTAGAGAGGAGGGCTGAGCTTTAAGGTCTGGGGAACTACAACTGAAGAGGTCCAGGAGCCGCAAGGGGATGGGGTGTCCTGGGAGCAAAACGAAGAAAGCATTTCAAGAAGCAGAAAGCATTCAAATGTGTCAAATGCTGCTACAAGGTAGGGTGGGAATGAGAATTTCCCATTATGTTTAGAGGGTAACCCTGACAAAAGGCATGTCAGCACAGTAGTTAAGACTAAAAGTCTCAAAGGAGAGGGGTGAAAACAACCATTCCTCAAACATTCCAGTCTGTCCCCGCCACAGGGCCTTTACAGATGCTATTTAATCATCTCTAGACCTTTCCATGCACCTGTACATCCTCGTGTCAGGGTACAAATGACCTCCTCCAAGAGGCCTTCCTTTGCCACCCTAAAGTAAGCATTCCACCCTACTTACTCTTTAGCCCCTTATCTTGCTTTTTTGAAACTCTCCCTCTCACTCTCTCTCTCACACACACACACAGCAGTACGTCAGGATACTTGAAATCTATTATTTCATTTATTTGTTTACTTGTTTGTTGATCTCCCCCACAAGAATATGACACAGGGAGGAATAATATGTACAAACACTTCTTTTTAAAGACAAGTTGTACATTTTTCTAGATGTATCATTCCTAGAAGATTTTCCAGTACCTGAAGATATAATACTTTATTGGCTACAACTCTTCTCACAGTGAGAAATTTGCAATACAGCAACAAAGAAGGTCCATAACGTTACAATCATTGGCAAATCCCCTTTACTGCCACTCTTCTGCCACGAAGCTTCCTGTAGCTCTGTTTCCTTGGTTATAACACCATCATACGGTTTTCTCACAGAACATTCTCACTTTAACCTTACTTCACAGAAAACTGTGCTAGTAAAATTAATATTTATAATTCTCACCTTCAATTTTATCATAACAAAGGCAACTGTGCCCTAAATACAGCTAGGTCATCCCCAAAGTTCTCAGAGAAATCAAAGTTGTAGAAAAGTTTAAATCAGAGGTAGCCTAGCCCACTTCCTGTCACACACAGACACCAAGACCAGTGGGTACAAGAGACACGGTCCATAAGTGAACTCTTAAACTCAACTCCTAGCCTTTCACAAAGTTAGAGAAAGACGTCTGATTTATGATTTATAACAAGGGCCTGGGTAATAATAAAGTATGTCCTAATTATTAGACATACTTTGAAAATCAGATTTTTGCTGTTTTGTAATGTACCACTCCACTCCACTCCTAGAAATCTGTACTTGTTGAGCCTTTATCTCATTTAGTGGCTCCATGTCCAGAGTATAGAGATAGGATTTTATTCTAGAAACTCTCTGGGAAATACTTGCCTTCGTATCTCTAAGGAGGGTACAAAAAAACCCTCTCTGGCTTAAGTCCACATTAATAATCTGTTAATCAGTTTATAACTTTCAGTAAAGTTCTGTCACAGCATATTGCTGGATTAAACAACAAGAGAATTATAATAATCTTCTCTTTAAGGTTCCTTTTTGGAATATAATTAAAATATAGTTACCATATGGTATACATTTTTGATGTACTAAAAGTATCCCTCCTATTTAATTGTGTTTTGGGAAAGGGACACAGTAAGTAGGTGAATTGAAGGATGGCTGTTTTGGAAGACCTAGTAAACCTACAGGCAGGTTTTTAAAAAAAAGCCAGTGTGGCAGTAGGAGTAAAGAATTACAGAGTTTCCTACAGGCGTCACTGTGGACTGATATTGAGCAGCTGCAGGATTAGCTTCTAATAAACTGAGCAACAAGGAAAAGAGAAGGGGAAAAGGTGAGGTCAGTTTTACTGTTAAAAATACTTTTCAGTGGGATTGAAAAGCTATCAAAAATATTTACTGACTGCTTACTGTTTTGAGCACATTTCAAAGGTCAATGAAATGATTCTAAATGCATCTACCTAGCAGAGCTGACAGATCATTTATACTATCCCAAAAAAGCCTTCCTAATACCTGAAACAAATAATTCCTTCAACAAACACGTTCTGAGTGGCCACTATGTGCTGGGCACTTTTCTAAGTGCTAGGGATACAGCAATAAGTAAATAAACCACATGGACTTTATGTTCTGAATGGAGAGAAAAAGACAAAGTAATTAAGTAAATGACTTAGTATTTTAAAAGTATAAGAGCTATCTTTAAGCACTTAGACCATAGTAAGTACTTTGGAAAAAAAGAAAGCAAGAAAAGGAGATAAGATGTAATTTATTTGTATTCATTATAGGTGGCCTATTTGTTTTATGATAGATGTTATAATATAACAAGATTCTTTTATAATCAATATTCTCTTTACAAATTTCAACTTTATAAGAAATAGAATATAATTTTAATTTTTTAAAGTTTGTTTATGTATGTATGTATGTAATCTCTACACCCATCACGGGGCTCAAACTTACATCCCCAAGATCAAGAGTTGCATGCTCTTCTGACTGAGCCAGCTTGGAGCCCCAACTTTAAATATTTTTTTAACTATTAGTATATCTTCCCTCTTAGAGTATATAATTAACTATACTTATATTTGATGGTATGTTCTTGGTCAAAACCAACACCAGGCCTTTTGATTTATTTTTTTAATTTTTTTTTTAAAGATTTTATTTATTTATTTGAGAGAGAGAGAGAGAGAGCACATGAGAGGGGGGAGGGTCAGAGGGAGAAGCAGACTCCCCGCTGAGCAGGGAGCCCGATGCGGGACTCGATCCCGGGACTCCAGGATCATGACCTGAGCCGAAGGCAGTCGCTTAACCAACTGAGCCACCCAGGCACCCACACCAGGCCTTTTTAGCTAAACACAATGCACTTTTGGATATTGCTTTATGAAGAGGTTTGAGGAAAAAATCATGTTTAAAAAAAAAAAAAAGCGAAGCCTTACTAAACTGTGAAGCTTCCAACAGTGAACCAAGGATTTCTGGTACCAATGATTTTCAATTCTAAAGAACATTACATTCACTACAAAATTTATATGATCAAATAAATATCAAAACAGCCTAAATCAAACAGAAATTTTGGTAATTAGTATCATTAGTATACTAATCAAGATATAAAAATGCTTGACTTTGTTTTCCTATATAACTTGAAAAAGAATAGTAAAAATCTAACTCTTTGGGAAGAGCTCATTTCCAATTTAAAAGGCAAAAAACATAAATAAAAGGCATTAGTTTTACAAGATTAAATGTATACAAACTTTCATTTTATTATGTTTTAGCTATCTAGCACTTCAATTTGAATACAAAAGCTTATATACAATGTAAATTGAAGATTTCAGCAGAATGAAGCTTACCTTCAGGCTAGTATGAGAACGTGGTTGACTTAATTCCTGAAATTTCCATTGCTCTGATCCAGGGGTCTCTCCGCCTTTCTGAGTGTCCGGCGTAAGCAATCCATCTCCAGCAGGTAATGGGAAAATCCCTAGTGATATAGGACGTTCTTTTCTATTGAAGAGGGGAGAAAAAATTAAGTATTCATTCATTCCTTTTTAATTTCTATTCATCATGATCATAAGTAATAAGCCCGGGCTGTCTCTGTTTTAGAAAAATCACTCTTAAAAAATACCATCTGCCTATCTAAACAGTAGACTTACCAAAGAAAAAGGACAGTCTCAGAAGTTCAAATTAGCCCCAAGAAATTAACTAAGAAAAGGAGTAAAAGAAATCTTATAAGTGACTGATGAATTCCTCGCCTGGGGAGCAGTCTCTGGTCTGGTTTCACAGCGACAAAAGCTACTAAATTTTCACTCAAGCTTACATTAGCCCTAGGGAAACTGGCAACCTCCTCCTTTGGAAGTGAATCCCACCCTTGCTTCTACACTTCCCAAATTCTCAAACCAATACCTAGATATTTGCCCAAGCCTCTTCGGGGTACGTCTCTTCTGCCTAATGGAAAATCTATGTATAATCTAAATCAGGACTACTGATTAAGTGGTAAAAAGAACTCCAAGAGTTTTAATCCTTAATAGCAGGAAAGCTGTCTTTTTCTACAGGATCGATATATGTGTTCCTTTCAATCATATAGTATGTGAGAAAACCACTGTCAGTTTTTCCAAACAAGGAGGCTGAAAAATTCTATAAAAGACTGTAGAGTTTCCAATGCTTTGTGGGAAATTTCAATGAGCAAGAGTTACAATTTTAATAATAATAGAATTTCAATAAGAAACATATCCTTTGGTGATGCATAGATTACAAATAAAAAAGGCCTTTCTGGAGGGTGGAAACCAGCCTAGGAAGAGGTTGTCCTGGGTCATTAACCCAAAAAAGTAGAAACTGGCAAGAAAAGAGACACTAAAGGTTTGGAGCCTCCTGGAACTCATACCTCTACTGGCCAGAATGTAAATTAGAATAGAACCACTGAGGTTATAAATAAAAGTGGGAAAATATTCAGTTTTGCTAAGTCCTTTATTCTGTAAGCTCATTTTTAAAACAAGAAACTTAAGCCACTTGAAATCAGCCCTCACTTAACACAAAGGAGATGCTCTTCCACTCCTAACTACAATCAGAAAGGATCAGTAAAACTGCCAGAACTTCTTCTTAAAGATTGGCTGAAGGAAAAGGATTGAGAGATTGCATTTGGTTAAAGGTGTGTATGCACAAGGAAATAAAACAGGACTTTTCTCTATTAGTTAGTTAAGTATTCATCATTTCTTTACACTTGGGTACTTTACCTATTTGATCCGGGAAAATTCAAACGCAGGTAGGTAGCACAATAAAAGGCTAGATTTTAATGACAAATTTAAGTTTATTTCTATGAGCTTCCAGAACAACCAAATGACAGACTAAAGTAACTACTCAGCTATTCTGTTTAGACCACTTATTCCCTAATGCTGGCTCAGCAATAAAGTTTGCCTAAGTCCATAGTGAAAACAGACATTATTTATTATATCCTTATTAGGTAATATAGGCCATATTGTACACATACACATTTCCATATATCACAGAACCTATTCTTTCCTGAGAATGATGGACCTTTTTCTACATCTTTTCTCCTTTGATTTTAAATCCCTTCATCAAATGATGGTGACAATGATTAGGAAGCAAATTTTGTTTTAACATCCATACTTGACAAAATAAAAAGTTGCTGCCTGATGTTTATCCCTCAATTTGGGGGTGGGGTGGGGTATTTTGGGAACCAATAATCTAATTGTCTAAGAGGTATGAAGTGGCTTATTTAACATATCTGAATAACTTAAGCAAAAAGGTGTGAATTTAATAGGATAGCTTAATGAAAAGCTCTCTAACCCAAAAAGCAAAGACAAGCAAGAAGATAATACAGATTTCATGCAAATCCATCACACTGCTAACAGAAATCAAAACACAGGCCAGTCATTATAATTATCTTCCTATATGAAGACATTCGTTTTCACACATATCAAATACAGAAAAAGTATAAAACTACTGGAGGAAAGAGTCTACTATGGTGCCAAGTTTTGCTTTTCCACTCCTGTTAACTAAGCCTACAATTCAAAATACCAGTAGAATTCACACCTCTTTGTACTGCTTTTATTAATCATTTACAATCTGTTCTATAGGGAGGGCATTTTTCTTCAGAGACTATCAAGAAGGTCCTGATGCTTTGGGTCACACTGTTTCAACTCTGGAAAACAATAATACTACATACATGTCTTCTCTCCTTATTTACTGATAAATTTCATGAGAGTTGAGGGGAGAGAGCACACGTAATTATGCAAGTCAGTTAGAATCCTACTTTTAAAAGAAACCCTGAAAAGTTGAACATTTTAAGTCCCAAACTATGTTGGTATGCATGTTTAGTACTCTACATATTAAGTGCTTCAGTGAAACTTACAGAAGAAACCAAAGAATGGGATACACTTGGAAAAACATCAAGTAACAGGTTTAAATCCCAGGGGTTTCAATATGTTTCACTATGCGGCCACTGTTTAGAAACAAAGCCATCTTCAACTATCAGAATCCTTGTTATATTCTTTTAAAAACTGCCTTAGTTCCTTCCATATATTCATTTTTTAGTTGGTTATTTAAATGTAACCTGTGTATAAATAAATTCCCAATTGTGTTTTTAAACAGCTTCTTGGCTCTATAGACATTTAAAACAAATAACCATTAATAAAATTTTAAAAAGATTGTTCAACATTCACCATGTGGCAAGCACAAAGGATGGTTTGTTTACACTCTCATGGAAATAGGGATTCTTTCCCCAGTTTTCAGATTAGGAAAAGTGATGCACAGAGACATTAAGCATTAGTAATCCACAGAGATGGGGCTCAAAGTCAGACCTGTTGCACTCCAAGGCCCATGTACTTCCCTTGGAACCTACCTATTTCTTGACAATTTAATCTTAATACTGAAGACTTTGATATCTTTATTCCATTAGATCAGCAATTTTTGTGTCAAGGAACTTTTCAAATTTAATCATAAGGTATTTTATCAGTAAAATAAGTAGAGTTCTGGAAAGCAGTTCTGCTAAAAATGGGGCACATATATAAGTGACTGCAAATTATTTACTTGTTCGGCTTACTAAATATCTTGCAACTGATTAAATAAAAAATAATAATCTCACACTTGATTTTTAAAACTATCCAGAGGGGTAAGAACCTCAGGGGAGGAAACCCAGGCGCAGAGATTTTAAGCAAGTTGCCAGAGGTCCTACAGCTGCCATGTGGCAGAACATTTATAACCAGGCAGCCCAGCTCCAAAGCCTCTTACCCACTGCACGACCCTGCGCGGCCCAGCACAGCACTGCCATCTCCAACAGAGCTGAAACCTAGGACAGCCCTTTAAATCTTATTTTAATCTTACATTTGCTTTAGTTAAGGTCTTTTTAATCTCCTAAAAGCCTAAATATACATAAAAACAAATCTTTTGTGTACTATACAGAAGTAGTAAGATTTCTTCCAATTTTTATAAAATCAAGAAAGAAAATAAATGACCCAAGTATCTAATTTTTAGATCACAGATGAAATTTAACTTCTGGGCCTTAAACTAATGTTAAACACGAACCGACCGATGAATAGAAAGAACACCTTGAGGGAATATACTAATTTAATTCATCTTAATTTATCTAAATCCACAAGTTGAGTATTTTAAGTAAATATTTAAATAATAAAAGCTCGACACCATGAACCTTCCTTTAAAACCTCGCACAATGTAGAAATCTGAACAAATTAGATGTCTTTTAGTTTGAGGAGTTAGAAAACAGAAGCCATCCAACCCTTAAATAAATATCTAAGATGTCGAAGACGGTTCTTAGAGAGTGTGAGTAGAGTGAGCAGCAGCAAAGCCCCGGAGATTAATGACTGCCCCCACAAGCAGGCACGGATATTTGTCACCCAAGTCTACAAAGAAAGGGCAACATCTGACAAAACAATAGTGAATAGGCTTTGTAAAGCTTTCACAACTTTGATGTGTAAATGATGAGGGGGAAAATGCATTCCTTGCCCTAAAAGGTTTAAATCCTTTCACTTTAAAATATATTTTTTTTAGAAAGAAAATATTTAAATTGTCAGTTCCTGCAAGTTATCAAAAATTGCAAAAATGATGCCTAAATGTCCATCAGTCAAAGGATAACTGAACAAAATAAACACCTACAGCCTGTGTCTACCCAACTATACATCTCAGCATAAAAGATACTGGCCCCCAAATGCTCAGATGCTAAACACAGAGGTTTATAAACTTGGACCCAGTGTTTTACTCTTGCTCTCCCTTTATTCTCTGAACACTCTGCCTAACACAAGACCACACTGACCCTGTACTTGTGCATAAGTACAATATGAAAATCCTTTTAAGTCCGCAGTTTCCAAAGACAAAGCCATATCCCTAGGTGATAGCCTGTAAATTACTATAAATAAGAAGAGAAAATCCTAGCTTCAGGCCATTTTCCATTGTTTCAATCTGCAACAGAAATGGTTACAAAGCAGACCTGTGAAGCTAAAAATTTGGGAAAAACCAACTAACAGGGGCTTCTAAGAAAGACTAGAGTACCTGAGTATCCTTGGTAGGTTCTGCGTCAGAGCTGGCACACCGGTAGAAATAGAAAAGTGCACAAGCAGCAAAACAGAGAGAGATACTAAGATAGCAGAATTAATGACCACCGCCCCGCCAACAAAGCCAAACACAAACAGCAGCATGCATCCAGGACTCATGGCGCTGTGCTGGCATGGTGAAATACCGGAACCAGGAGGCCTACACAGGGGCCAAAGGGGAATCTTTGTAGTGAGGATCTGTCATTCAGCGGCTGCCACAAAAACAATGCCATCAGCAGCAGCTTTCCACTCCATCCTGCAGCAGCTCCGAAGCGATGACGTCATCCTGCTCTCCCCACCTCATAACCATAGAGCTGCTGCTCCTCGCGTTTATGCAGCGATCCAGAGCGACAGCCAGCCTATTAACTACTTTGCTCTCCACTAAGAGTCCTGGCTTAGCTCATTGGCTACAATGCTGGGAGATCTGCATAATTTATTCACACTTCTACATCAAACAGAAGTCTAACCCTTTCAAACATGCCTCTTGGTAACGAAAAGGACTTTAAACCAATTATACAGGAGAAATGAAAAATTTTCAGCACCCCTACAAATCAGAAAACTTTAAACCTGGTATAATCTCCATTAAGTATTATAAAACAATCAAAATACCTCGATACGTTGCTTAGATGGCATGGCTCACGATTTACCTTTTTAATAGTGAGGGCTGTTTCTATTTTTCTATGCTATTCTCTCCTGTAGCATTCCAACCATGCTTTTTGAGAGAGAGCTTTGTGAATCAGCCTAACTATTGTTCCAGGATTAAAGGACAGGGAGAAACAGAAACAGATTATTTTGATTTTTCTCAAGGCAAAATGTTTAATAAAGCTTACCTAATTCTACTATGAGCTGTGGACTCTAGTTGATCACTCCCTGAGAGCTGATGAAGTTTTGTTCTTTCTAAGTGTTCCATATAATTATGGATCATCTATTTTGAAGAAAGAAAAAAAATATGCAAATTTTAAGGCCAATATCTGAAATAAAAACATAGTGTTTTAACAAGGGAAACATTTTTGTAGAAATTTCATATTTATCAGACTACCCACAGTTCCATGGAAAAGAATATTAAGGATGAAAAAATTTTAGGTGGCAAAGGAATATATGCAAATGCTTACATTTAAAGATGCTGGTGTCCAAAGAAGTAGCCAACATGTTGCTTAGCATAGCAAAAACTTTTTTTAACAATATGTGACACTATTAAACGATAAAATTTTGACATAAATAACAAGTTAGAATATAGGCTTTGGAGAGGAGGTGATAAAAGACCACTGATAAAAATAATAGAGGGTATTTGAGAAATCCGCTCACTAAAATGGGAAACAAAAAAGAGATTAACATGAAACTTGAGAAGAAGCCATACCCTGATGTGGTGATCTTTTCCATTTTACAAAGGATTCAGAGTAAATATCACTTTCAATTTAATTAAGTAATTTAATTTAATACCAAGATGTTTATTTCTTGTGCCTATAGATTTCATTAAAAGAATGCTAAAATATGGGGTGCCTGGGTGGCTCAGTCGGTTCGTGTCTGCCTTTGGCTCAGGTCATGATCTCAGGGTCCTGGCATTGAGCCCCATGTCAGGCTCCCTGCTCAGCAGGAAATCTTCTCTTTCTCCCTCTGCCCTGCCCCCCACAGGTGCACCTCTCTCTCTCTCAAATAAATAAATAAAATCTTAAAAAACAAAAAGAATGCTAGACTATTTTCTCTTTCATTTGATTGTTAATTTATTGGTATCATTACTTAATGTAATCATCTAATAGTAAATAAAATGAAAAATCAGAGCACTTTGATTTTATTTTTTAAGATTTTATTTTTAAGTACGCGGAGCTCAAACTCACAACCCTGAGACCGAGTCCCATGCTCTACAGACTGAGCCAGCCAAGTGCCCCATCAGAGTGCTCTGATTTTAAATCTTGGATAAGGAGCCATAAGATGGACAGGCTGAATATGGAAGTAAAAACGTCAAGAATATCAAGTATATAAACTGAAAAGAAATTCTGTAATCCTATTTAGTTTCTGGTAATCTACAGTTCCACTTTTAAGGAACCTAAATCGGGCATTAAAACATGTAAAATGCAACAAATTTCAATCATAAAATCAAAAGGCCTTTGCTAGATACTAACATGATATGATAAGAAAAAATAAATTTTAAGGAATAAGAAAAGGTTATGTTAGCAATCTAAAAGAATGCAAATTTGAAAAGTAGACAAGAAAAGGTTGATGACTTTCTTGGGACTATCCTTTGAATTCTTAAAATTTGAATGTTCCTTGAATGCTTAAAAAGGCATGGAACAGCTATGGAGGTTTCTAAACTTTAGCTGTATGAACATGGATTTCAATCTTAACATAACATGAAAATATGCACTGCAGCATATTAAAAGCATAACTATTGAAAGAAACAAGATTTTGAGCAAATTTATAAAATTTTTAAAAAGCACACTTTTGTTGGGAAAATTTTACTTGGCATATATGCAGAAAAATTAAATACATAAATCTCTTTGAAATTGTTCTTTACTTCAAATAAACAAAAAGCTGAACTGATGCATGAATCAAGACAAGTAATTCTATCAAATCAAACATTATAAAAGAATTAATCAGGCTGTTTCCCAATTAGAACTGTTTAATAAGAACTGTATCAGGCAGGGGTGCCTGGGTGGCTCAGTCGTTGGGTGTCTGCCTTCGGCTCAGGTCATGATCCCAGGGTCCTGGGATCAAACCCCACATCGGGCTCCCTGCTCTGCGGGAAGCCTGCTTCTCCCACTCCCCCTGCTTGTGTTCCCTCTCTCGCTGTCTCTCTGTCAAATAAACAAATAAAATCTTAAAAAAAAAAAAAAAAGAATTGTATCAGGCTAAGAAAAATTAATGTAGATTTACAGGGATATGGTATGTGAAGACATTCTTTAAAGTTTCGAATTTACATATCTTCTATTTTAAATTTACAGATTTTTCTCTTTACCCCCATTTAAAGAACATGTTTGCAGAAACACAGTTTTTGTCTTTGTGTCAGCAAGTCAGAAATAATGAACTGTTTTCTTCTTGAATCAGGAAGAACTTTAAGGAAAAAAACAAAAATGAAACTAAAATAACAAAGTGATGGTTGGGCCAAATAGATATCAACTTAAATTTTCAAAAGATTTTAGAAAACCTAAGTTGAATTCTTATATACTGGATAGTAATCATACGCAATTGATTAGCTCAGATGAAAGAATCTAAGTTTCCCTTAAGCACTCAAATGAAGAAAACAGAAATCTCCCCTAGGTAGACTGCCCTTATAGTATTCTATTTATTCAATATAGATAAAGTTATAAATGCAAAGACAGAATCAGTTCTACACCCCCCCCCAAATAGTCCATTCTGTGGATTGACTGTTGTCTTTAATGATTTTTTTTTTTTTAAATTTTTGAATTCTAGGGGTGCCTGGGTGGCCCAGTGGGTTAAGCGTCTGCCTTCGGCTCAGGTCATGATCCCGGGGTCCTAGGATCAAGCCCCGCATCAGGCTCCCTGCTCTGCAGGAAGCCTGCTTCTCCCTCTCCCACTCCCCCTGCTTGCGTTCCCTCTCTCGCTGTGTCTCTGTCAAATAAATAAAATCTTAAAAAAAAAAAATAGGGCCATACCTTTAAAAAAAAAAATTTTTTTTTAAATTCTAGGGGCGCCTGGGTGGCTCAGTCGTTAAGCGTCTGCCTTCGGCTCAGGTCATGATCCCAGGGTCCTGGGATGGAGCCCCACATCCGGCTCCCTGCTCCTTGGGAAGCCTGCTTCTCCCTCTCCCACTCCCCCTGCTTGTGTTCTCTCTCTGTCAAATAAATAAATAAAATCTTTGAAAAAAAAAGGTTTTTTTTAAATTCTAAACCTTCAAAAGACTGATTCCTTCTTCAAATGATATATCCCATATATAATTCCAAAATGGTCTATGTAACGAAACTGGTTCCAATCCAATTAAACTAGCACTTTATAGTACAGAATAATAACAAAATAATAGCTAACATTTATTAAGCATAAGTCAACCAGTGCATTTATAGCCAGTTTCATTTAATCCTTACAATATTAGAATTTTATAAACTCCAGTTTAAGATTAAAATAACTTGCCCAATTTGGCCAGCTAGTTAGTGATCAACTGTGTTCTAACTGTTGGCTTTAGGGCCAGACTCCGGTCCCTCTGACTCAGTCGTCAAAAAGTTAAGCATTCTGGGACCAGTTTTGTATTTGCCCTTTTAGTCAATTCTCTAGGCAGGCGATAAGCTCATTGTTCTTTCTTCCTCACACCCACAAGAAAACCCCACACCCTAAAGCATTTCCTGACGTCTGAAATAAAATATGCACTACATTCTGTAAATGCATCAAAAAAAGTAGAAAAAATAAATTGTATGTAAAAATTTTAATTAGGGGCACCTGGGTGGCTCAGATGGTTAAGCATCTGCCTTCGGCTCAGGTCATGATCCCAGGGTCCTGGGATTGAGCCGTGCATTGAGCTGGCTGGGGTGGGGAGCCTGCTTCTCCCTCTCCCTCTGCCTCTGCCCCTGCTCATGCTCTCTCTCTCTGTATCTCTGTGTCTCAAATGAATAAATAAAATCTTGGAAAAAAATTTTTCAATTAAAAAATTTTTTTAATTTTAATTACAGGGCTTCACAATATAGCTGTGCTTTATTATTTTTTTTTAAGATTTTATTTATTTATTTGACAGAGAGACAGCGAGAGCAGGAACACAAGCAGAGGGAGTGGGAGAGGGAAAAGCAGGCTTACCCCCAGCAGGGAGCCTGATACGGGGCTCAATCCCTTGACTCTGGGATCATGACCCGAGCCAAAGGCAGACGCTTAATGACTGAACTACCCAGCAGCCCCTATAGCTCTGCTTTAAAAAAAAAAAAAAAAAAGTGAATGGGAGGGCAGGATCGGTGGTGCCAGACAAGAGAGAAAAGTGAGACAGTAAAAGAGGGCATGCTTTAGATAATCTACTATTGGGTCCACTAGCCCCATCCCTCCTGATCTCAAAACTACAACTCTCCACTTTCTCAGGTATGTACATTAATTCACACCTATTCAGGAGTCGATTCAGCAACAAACAGTTGGCAGATTCAGAATCCCCTCTGCATAGAGAAATCACAGCAGAGGTTAACTGTCAGCTTGGATAAAACTGGGAAGTAAGGCAATAAGGGAGGTTTTGGAGAAAAGTGGACTTTTAATCGTGTTTGCCGTAAATCTTTCCGTGCACAGCCCAAGAATCATATATCTATACCTGCAAGGCCACTATTCTTAAGGTTGTTGCAATGCCAGAAAGCAAAGAGGCATAAAAAAATTTCTAGTGCTTTTAACACTCATTACGGCCCATAACCTAAAAGTGTTATTGAAAATTCAGGCAACAGGGGCTCCTGGGTAGCTCAGTCGTTAAGCCTCTGTCTTTGGCTCAGGTCACGATCCCAGGGTACTGGGATCGAGCCCCACATCCGGCTCCCTGCTCAGCAAAGAGCCTGCTTCTCCCTCTCCCTCGACCTGCTACTCCCCCTACTTGTGCTCTCTCTCTCTCTGTCAAATAAATAAATAAAATCTTAAAAAAAAAAAAAAAAGAAAAAGAAAAGAAAAATCAGGCAACAAAATATGAAAGACCTAGGTTCAAATCCAGTCACATACTGGCATTAAATTTGGAACAAATCACTTCATATTCCCTTTCTAAAACTCAATCTCTAAAATGGGGATGGATGATGGAGTTTGGTCAGAGGATGAAATAAGAATGCATTTAGGGCGCCTGGGTGGCTCAGTTGGTTAAGCGACTGCCTTCAGCTCAGGGCATGATCCTGGAGTCCCCGGATCAAGTCCCGCATCGGGCTCCCTGCTCAGCAGGGAGTCTGCTTCTCCCTCTGACCCTCCCCCCTCTCATGTACTCTCTCTCATTCTCGCTCTCTCAAATAAATAAATATTTAAAAAAAAAGAATTAGGAAGAGATACAACAAGCGCATAAAGGGTTTCAGGGCTGCTGACGATGTCGTGAGCCTGTTGGATGAAGAAGAGTCAGGAAGAGATCCAATGTCAAATAAAATAAAATATTTAAAAAAAAAAAAAAGAGTTGGTCACTTAACTGATTGAGCCACCCAGGTGCCCCATCAATCATTTTTCAACAGTCTTAATATATACCGATTGACATCTGATTAAAATGTGGGTATTGTTTCTTTTTTTTTTTTAAGATTTTATTTATTTGACAGAGAGAGACACAGCAAGAGAGGGAACACAAGCAGAGGGAGCGGGAGAGGGAGAAGCAGGCTTCCCGCTGAGCAGGGAGCCCGATGCGGGGCTCGATCCCAGGACCCCAGGAGCCGAAGGTAGACGCTTAACGACTGAGCCACCCAGGCGCCCCGTGGGTATTTTTCTCATACTGACAAGGCTGCTGTTTAAGCTCTTCCTGTCTTCCCAGGGCTCCATGCTTCCAAACCTCTGTATCCAATCTTTTCCCTCCACCACTGAGTATCAATTCTTCACAGGTGACTACAAAAGCTAAGATAGTAATAATGAAACCTCCTATGTCAGAAATTCCAACCCCTCCTCAAGAAAGTATTAATCATATTATTCCAAAGCAAATCCTTAAAAGTAACAATATAGGTTTCTACCACAGGCAGGATAAGAGATCACAAACCAATGAAAGAAAAATGGAAGCTGAAGACTGGAACCATCTGTATCCTGGGAGATTTGGATGAGAAAGGGAAAAAAAGAGGAACTATTTTTTTCATGTAACAAATAGCGCTTGAGTCTATGAAAATTCTCCTTATTGAGGTTTGTGGCCCCCAGACTGGCCATGAAACACAAAAACAATTTTCACATTCAGGAGACTGCAACAAAGGCAGCATATGAAAGGCTCATAGAGAATCATAAAAAGGTTAAAAACATGCTCAGGTACATTTTCTAATTTGCTTTGAAGAGATTATGTACTAGAGTTATTAACTTAAAAAAAATACTGAAATTTCATGCAGAAAACCTGTTTTAGAGTCATTTTAATTTCATACACAATTTGTGTTTATATTATTTGTTAGGAGCTTAATGCAAATAGGCCCTTTATAGTGCATTATAAATACAGAAACTCTTACCAACAATTTACCAATCCATCATTTCCCAACTGGTAACAAAATAAATTAAATCAATTCTATCATTATTAGCATGATATATACTTTTTATTACACACACATTAGTTTGTACTTAGCTGGCCAAAGAAACAACTGTTGGAACTGCCTTAGTAATTAACATTATTCTGTGGTACACTAATTCTCATCCATGAATAGTTAATTCCAGACAAAAAAAACAATAGAAGTCAACATTTGGTAACAAGGTAAACGCTACATGAAATTTAATGTTTTCTGGACATAATCCCCAAGAATTATATTAGCTGACTTTCAAAGATATAAATATAACTTCTCAGGTTAATTCCTTTAGTGCAATATTAACATGGTAGAAACAACCCAAAAACCCACCTCAGTGTGTCTCTGATGTAATGCGTTATATTCCTTCTTCAATTCTGCTTCTCTTTCTTCAAGTCTGCTAACTGAAATTAAGATACATACATTTAATCAGAACAAAATATAAGAAATTTACTTTAAAAAATTCCATCCTTAAAACCTGGAATAGGTTATCCATAATTCTTAGCAACTTTAGGATTCAGTGCTTCTCAGAGACCTCTCTTCACCTTCCTTTTTATTTTTTTTAAAAAGATTTTATTTATTTAATTGACAGAGAGAGAGAGAGAGACAGCGAGAGAGGGAACACAAGCAGGGGGAGTGTGAGAGGGAGAAGCAGGCCCCTTGCCCAGCAGGAAGCCCGATGCAGAACTCGATTCCAGGACCCCGGGATCATGACCTGAGCCAAAGGCAGTCGCCTAACCAGATGAACCACCCAGGCAACCCTCTCTTCACTTCCCTTAATAAATAAAACTTTCAGGTACGGGGGATAAACTGAATTTAAAAAATCCCCTAAACATCAGATTGGTTCTCCTAATATGCATATGTTTATCAGGTCATCCCCCTTAAATAGGTTTTAAACGTGATACTCAAAAACATTTTACAAATAAATCCCCTCACAGAAGTTTTAAGCTGGAGTTTGGGCCCAAATCATTTATTTCTAATATTGATATTCAAGCTCTTTTTCACTCCTGGGCAGTATGTGAACACATCCTTGTTTGTTAAGTACTTTTTCTGCTTCAGGGCTTCATTTCGGGGACTCATCTTCTTTTACTTAGCTCCCTCTGCTGATGGAGTTTGTGAGTGGCACTGATTTGGAGGTAGCACTCAGAGTACAACTATGTAATACATTTTTTTAAGTTTTAGATCCTGAAATACAGAATGTTAGGACAGGATTTCATAGGAAGTAACACTACCAGAGAGGAATGATTCTGGGAGAAGGTGGAGTCCAAGCAGGACCACAAAGAAATTCAATTACAGTACTCAAGAGAGATGGTGAAGAGCATACGGGCACTGTTACCACCAGAAGCGAACACAAAACTATGATGGTGGTGAGGAAGAGGGGAGACTGGCCAGCCCGGAGGAGCTCATACTACCTAAGGGGCAGTGAGAAACAATCTGGTGTGAAGAAATAAAGCTGGTGCCACAGGAGCCTGTCAAGATACTCATTTAGGTCTGTTTAAAAGACTTCAATTAGTTGGAAATGTTCTGCCAGTATAGGTCTGCTAGCTGCAAGCATGCAAGATTGCTTGTAAGCCACAGCCTGTGACCCTGGCAGATGGCTGTAGAAGTAACTACTATGAACAGATGGCCATAGAAGTAACTACGAACTATTAACAGCACACACAGGAATGTTTCCCTGTACCTAATGTGAACACACAAAACACCAAACAACGCGGAACTTGTGCTGTCCAGCAAACTCATCTTTGATTTGTGTAGCTTTACTTGCTACCTTTGTTTGAATATCTTGAAAATATGTCATTAATTAGAAAAACTGTAGCTCTGTGGCTGAAAGCAATAATAAGAAAACTTGTAACGCAGGTGTATTGTGATAACGCAATAGGTATTGAAACTATAATTTTTAGGGCTGCTTCTGTAATTTTTATTTAAACACAGGAAATCTAAGCAAATAAAAGATATTTAGTTAACAATTTCACAACAAATGTTTTCTACTACTTCTTGTCAATTAAACTCATCTAAAACCTTAACCCTGAGACTACTGGGTGAACCTTATCTATTTGTAATTGTTCATCTGTGTTTATCAAGATTTTCTTGATATTGTACAACCAAAACAAAAAAAAGAAGGTTGAGTCTAAAGTAAAATTGCAACTATAATTCATAAACCTCATTTCAAATTTGTGCTCAACAACAGTCTCATTATTCTTGTCAGCTACCTTGACATCAATTCATAAAATAAATTTATATCACCAACACCACCACTACTGATAACAGCTAAAATTTCACAGTGCTTATTATATACCTTGCACTGTCCTATGTGCTTTACATAAACAAACTTATTCGAGCCTGACATTAACCTTATGATGAAAGTATGATTACTACATTCATTTTAGAGATGAGGAAACTGAAGTAAATAGAGGTTAAGTAACTGGCCAAAGTCACAGTTAGTAAATGACAAAACTAGGATTCCTAATGGAGGAGTCTGGGCCCAGAATCTGTTTTGGTTTTTTAAGATTTTATTTATTTATTTGTCAGAGAGAGAGAGAGAGAGAGAGAGAGAGACAGCACAAGCAGGGGGAGCGGCAGGCAGAGGGAGAAGCAGGCTGTCTGCTGAGCAAGAAGCCCATGTAGGGCTGGATCCCAGGACCCTGAGATCGTGACCCAAGCCAGAGGCAGATACTTAACCGACTGAGCCACCCAGGCATCCCACCCAGAATCTGTTTTTAATTACTATGCTATGCTGCCTCTCAAGAAATACCCTTTTTAATCTGTTCATACGTTGGAGTCTACTTTAAAACTTCATTTGGGGTTAAAAAATGTATAGACGGTACTCCTTTTCGCTTCAAACCAAAAAACCTCCGTTTTTATGGAAAGAACCTCATCACAGATATTATGACTCAAAGGTATCAAACTGCCAAGAAAAATACATACCCAACCTTATTAATCATCAGGGAAATACATATTAAAACCAAAATGCAACAGTTGTTCCATACCCATCAGAACAGCTACAATGAGAAACACAACATACCAAGTTCTGGTAGAATATGGAGCAACATGGACCCTCATACGCTACAGGTGGGAGTAAAAACTGGTATACCCAATTTGAAAGCTGTTGGGCAAGATTTAATAAAGTTGCATATTTACCAACCCTATGACAAAGCAAGTTCATTGCTAGGAAATACATGTACGTGTCCACAAAAGGCATTTAAAACAATGCTCAAAGCAGCACTATCTGTAATAATCCAAACCTGGAAACACACCACATGTCCATTAACAGCAGAATGGATAAATATTCCTGAACTGGAACACGACTCAACAGTGAGAATGAACAAATTATTGCTACACATCATGGATGAATCTCACACACAGGAGATTGAGGGAAAGAAGCAGAAGCAAAAGAACACAAAGTCCAAAAGACATACAGAACTACTCTAAAACTAAAGCGTCAGAAGTCAGGGTAGTGGTTACCTTTTGGGAGGAGTTAGTGACCTGGTTAATTTACTGTGTGTGCAGCCCCACCCAATTCCAGTTCAAACACACTGAGCACCTACTCACATAAGCACTTTCTTTGGCTTGAATACTCATTATTCTTTGTGTTCTTCAACAACTTCTGTGAGTTCAACGTTTAGCAGAGGACTAAACAGACTTCTAGAAGCATTACAAACAAATTGTGCCAATTCACTATTAAAATGTATAGGGAGATGAGCAAAAATGTTACCAGACTGAAGAATTAAAAAAAGAAAGAAAAAAGATGGGCAATATGAGAGGATAAATTGGAATTACTCTTTTGAAGGTTGGTAGTTTGACATCTAATAAAATAAGCAACGTGTATGTCCTTTGACCCAGTATTACTATTATTTTTAAGATTTTTATTTATTTATTTATTTGAGCGAGAGAGAGAGCAGAGCAAGCAAGAGAGCTTGGGGGAGGGGGGCGCAGCACAGAGAGAGAGGGAGTAGCAGTCTCCCCGCTGAGCAGGGAACCCAATGCCAGGCTAGATCCCAGAACCCCGGGATCATGGATCATGACCTGACCCAAAGGCAGATGCTTAACCGACTGAGCCACCCAGGTGCGCCCCTCCCCTCCAGGATTACTATTCTTACTTACCCTATGGAACACACCAAAGCCCAAAGACGTGAAAATGGATGTTCTATGCAATACATTTTATAATAACTCCCAAACTGGAACCATCCCCAAATTTGTCATTAGGTGGTTGGTGAAGTGAATTATGATAGTCATATGATGGACCACAATGCAGTGACTTTGCTACTTCCAAGTTATGTTACTTTGAATTTATTAATCTCTCTGGGCCTAAGTTTCCTTATTTATAATCAAGGAATAATGACAGTGTATTAGAGCTAGTATTAGGAATAGCACCTGGCACAGTGTTTTTCAAATACAACAAAGGTGCTGCTAAAAGGAATGCAGTGTATATGTGCTGATGTGGGATGTTGCCTAAAACTGAACGGAAGGATATTAAATATATATTTTTATATATGAAAATAAAAAATAAAGGTGGAGTCCTAATCCAATAGGACTGGTGTCCTTATAAGAGCTCTTTCTCGGGGCACCTGGGTGGCTCAGGCATTAAGCGTCTGCCTTCGGCTCAGGTCATGATCCCAGGGTCCTGGAATAGAGCCCCACATTGGGCTCCCTGCTCTGCGGGGAGCCTGCTTCTCCCTCACCCTCTGCTTGCCTCTCTGCCTACTTGTGCTCTCTCTCTCTCTCTTTGTCAAATAAATAAATAAAATCTTTAAAATAAATTAATTAATTTAAAAAAAAAGAGCTCTTTCTCCCCACATATACAGAGAAAAGACCATATGAGGACAGAGAAAGAAGGCAGCTATCTGCAAGCCAAGGAAGAGAGACCTCGGAAGAAACCAAACCTGCCAGCAGCTTGATCTTGGTCTTCCAGTCTTCAGAACAGTGAGAAAATAAATTTCTATGGCATTTTGTCATGGGAACCCTAGCAGAGTAATACAGGAAACTAAGGATCATTATGTATCATCTTGGAAAAAAGCTTAAAGCTTTCGTACAAAGTGTTTATCAAGTGACTTGGGACAGAGTTGGGCTTGTAGCTTATAGAAATAGGACCTTACTGATTTTACCGCAATTTGCTTACCAATGTTGGTTTGTATGGCTTTGCTGCTATGTACTACTTAATAGCAAGATTGTGGGAAAGGAGATATAAGACCCCAATACACCACAATTACCAGAGATTTCCTATGTTTACCTAAATGAACATGACCTTTGTTCAAACTGGCTTAGCTTCATCTATAAAAATTCCTTAAAAGCTCTATTAATTACTTTGCTCCCCTTAGCATTCTGGATTATTCCTATCTATAATTCCTTAAGCATCCACCCACAGCTTTCTAAACCCATTAGAGTTTCTGCTTAATTTATTTCCATT